TTTATACCACCAGCCGACCTGTTTTATTAAAAACACTAATAATCATTTTTAATCTTATATCAATGTAAAACAATTTCACTATATCGACAAAACGAGAGCCAAAAAAACGGAAGTTATCAAATTTTAAAACTCGAAAACTTTTACAGCCTTCCTGAACCACACGCCAAAGCCTTTAAATATCCCCTTCAGTCTACGCAATATAAATTGAATATTTCATTAAAACAAAAGCTGAACCTAATTAACCAAAAAAAAACTGAATAAAATTACTGAAAATCAGAGTTGATAAATGAACTACAGAACAACTTCCAAAAAAACTGTTTGAACAAGAAAACCCAAGCAATGGAAAAACTGCTTGAAGAGCATTTAGATAATATAAAATGCATTATGAAAAAACGGAAAATGAGCCGACAAAAATTAGTGCCCAAAGCCACAAATCCAAAAAAAATCAACACTTTTTCAATAAAGTATTTGACAAAATAATTACAACCTAAAATGATACAAGACTGCTCGTATCAGGGCAAAGCCCTGAATGTTTCGACTGCCTTTTAAGGTTTATTGAGCAGCAAAAATACATAAAAAAAATTAAATGAAATAAAATAGAATGAAATTTTTTTTTCTTAAATTTGAATTTTTTTAATGAAAATCATCCCCCCACACGCCATATAAAGTACAAAAAGATAGATTTCGTTCCTTGTAACAAATCAATTATGGCAAATAAGCTTCGTTCAACCAATTTGGAACGATTTATAAGACGGATTAAATCTCGCTTACGCGTTAATAGCGCGAATTATATTGCGCGTTAATTATCCCAAATTGGTCAAAATGGCAATCTTTAAACCCTCATAACTTTACGAAAAATGATCACAGGTAAAATATCTTTTCAAATTTAAGCTCAGGACAACAATAACTTTTGAATGATATAAAAAATTCCGTCAAAAATGGCTAGTTAAAAAGTCGAAATTTCTCTGAAGAAAAAAAAAACCCACCCCGAGCACAAATATTCCGTTACTTTCGTATCGAAAGTCGGAACAATAAGAAATAGTTTTATTTGAAAGTGAGCGTATTAGCTTGTATAGTAAAAGAAATACATTTAGTCAGCGATATGCGTGCGATGTAAGAAACACGTCTATTTTGTTATTTGATAACGCTTGTTGCTCGCAAGCGTGAAAAAATATCTAAATACTATAGCAGCAAATGGCTCCAATGTTATCAGTGGCCAACTTGAATCACTTTTGAATCAAGCACACGTATTGATTATTACATTGTGAAAATTATTCCAGAAAAAGTCAGGGTTTCCAAAAAATATTCAATTGCAGATCATTGGCCAATATTTTTGAATATTCAAAAATCGTGAAAGTTCTTCAACTAGAACTTTAATATTCGAAATGAAAGAATTAGAACATGACTTTCTTGAAAGTGTCTTCTGAGCAGACATGAAAAAAAACTATTGACAGAGGATGTCATAGTGACAATTTGACAAGTTGTAAATGAACTACTGACTTCCACAAAATTACACACTGTTGGGCCAGTTCGTAATCAATTTTAACGCCAAGAAATAAAAACTTTCATTAAAGCCATTTGTGAGAACGAAAAGCTAGAGATTTACATTCAACGGGATAATTTAAGGATATTGGGATATTCAGAGCAAAAACAGCGAGATGCAAGAAGGAACAACATATTCGAAAATTATGATCAAATCGTCACCAAAAATACATAAAAATCGATAATTGAAGCTGCAAAATTTACTTCTTGGGATTTTCATGACATGCTCATTTTCTTCATCGATGCAGACACGCACAGGCCTTAAAAATCAGCCAATGATTGTACAATGCTTGAGAAGCCTAGCCAAATTATACATTTTATGTGGAAAAGCTGCACAAAAAAATGAACGGAGCTTTCAAATTGATGCATTTGAAGGTTATCCAGGTCCACGACCAAAAGTTACGCGATTGTGGAAGTACAATGCCCAGATCCATGGGCTTAAAAGAAAGCAAGAATAATTTCTAGGAAAGTAGGAATAATAAAAGCTGGGCTACTCCTTGAACGATGTACTAATTATTTTCCTCTAAAAAAGTTTTCAGCTTCAATTCGATTCTTCTGGAACCTAGTAATGCTAGCAAAACAATGTCTGGTGTTTTAAATAATACCCAAAATATGCCAAAAAATGGCTATGTTGGTACAATATGCAGCAGATCGAATTGTCAGTTGTTTTTAAATTAAAGTTAAGTCAAAAACTGAAGAAATTGTTGAGAAATTCTCCATTCATGTTCGTATCTTCTTTATTAGTAGTATTTTCGAAAGCTATATTTTACAGAAGATTAATAACGTAAAATATATCTAAAGACTAAGGCAGCAAATGCCTCGAATGTCATCAGTGGCCAACTCGAATCACGTCTAAATCAAGCTCACGTAATGACCATTACATTGTGAAAATAATTCGGAAAAAAAAAACAAAGTTTGAAAATAACATTCAATTGCCTAATTTTTTTGAATAGTCGATTACTACGTGACAGTTTATCATTTCACATGAAAATATTAGAACAGGTCAGCTCTGAACATGTCAGCTTCGAAAAAACTCAATCTTTTTGATAAAATGATAGAACTAAAAAAATGACACTGGGAACAGTTGTTTAAATTGAAATGTGCGACAAAACAAAAAAAATAGGCAAAACAGGTTAACAGCTTAGAAGAGAAAAAAATAGAAAAAACAGTCTAGGTCAACTAAAAAACAAAACATTTATACCCAGAAGTGTGGTGATGCTGCGCAGGACTTGTGAAAAAAAGATGTGCCAGAGACGCTGCGTACCCGCACCGGAGTTCCATGGATAATAATCGATTATAATATAAAACTGTTGTCTAAAAGGTTGCCATTATAGTCCATTATTGTTGCAAACTTAGACCACGAAAAAAATTAGATCGTCATTATAATCGATTAATTTCGACAATCTATTACACAATCCAATAAACTCCATTATATTCAATTATAATCCATTGATTATAACGGATTCTAATCTTTACATTTTTTCTTGCAAAATCATTTGCAAAACTTGCAATGTTTCTGCGTTACTCACGGACTACTCGCAATCTAAACCTACTCAAATTGACCTCCCCTCACTTTGCCACCCATCCGCAATTGCTTCTCCCCCCTCCCCCCTCACAACTGCATTTAAACCAGTCCCCTACGTTTATCTCTAGGCCCACCCCCATGTTTACTAAAAATTATTGCCAAGCCCAACCCCCCCCCCCCCCCAAGTTACAGTGTCCCCGTTTGTTTACTATTGAACGGGGACGGGAAAGGGATTTACTCATTGTGAACAACAGCTGTTTACCCCCATTCTCCATTTTAACCCCCTCAGCCAAGTTTTTGTTCCATCCCCCTCCCCCATTTTGGAGGGGTTGGGTAAACCCTACCCCCAAGCTGAGGATGGGTAAACTGTGGGATGGGGGTCAAACTGGGGAAGGGGGTTGTTAAAAGAGGTGATGGAGTGTAGAAAAAACAGAAAAAAAATTAAATAAATAAGTAAAACCTTATGTGAAAAGTAAAAAAATATGAAATGTGATACGTAGCAACTGCACGAAACAGGAAATGAGATAACTCTGAAAAAAAATTTCAAAATTCTTAACTTCTCAAAAAATACATTATAATCGATTATAATCTCTCATAATGAATTGTAATGATTAAAACATATTCTGATTATAATCCACTTTTAATTGATTATAGTCGATTTTATTTGATTATATTGACATAAAATGCCAGGCTCATAATCCATTTTTGATGGATTATAATCGATTAATTTTGCAATCATTATCCATGGAACTCCAGTGCGGGTATCAACTTGACCTTGAAAAACAGCGACATATTTCAAAGTTCAAGAAACAAGTTGAAAGATTACAAAAGTGAGTATGCGGATTCAGCCGTTCTACAAGCTTTATTATTCAAGGCACTTGACGAAATGAAAGCAGGCAAATGAAACAACGATGAAGAAAGAGAAGACTCGGAGAAATTTAGAAGACGGCGCGTTTTTTGCTTTCTTCGAATACGAAGGTTGAACAAAAAATTTCAAGAATCTTTCAAAAATTGATAATTTAGAAAATTTCAAAATAGTACAAAAAAAGGAATACATTCCTTTGCGCCTAACCAAAATGCACTGAAAAACAAAAATAAACAAAAAATTTTTTGTCACGCGCAAAAAATTACATTTTCAAAAATACGGTTCTATATTTTCATTTTATTACGCTAGCTAATTGCAAGCGTAATAGTAGGTTTTCTGAATGTATTGGAGTCTCGAAACAATTTTGTAAAAACCTGATTGGACTAACATGGAAAAACTGGAAGGTTTCGAAAAATGAGAAATTTGGAGCACTTGGAACAAATGATTACTCGGATGTTGTTAGAAGCTTTAATAACCACTTCGCAAACGGTCGCACAAAAAAAATTACATCGCTAACAAATTTATACCGCAAACCTATCGATTGAGGCACGCTTCACGTGAGGTTCCATAAAACCCCTCAGCGTAATTACTTCAGAATTTAAATAACATATTTGATGTCTAAATTTTGAAAAATGCGAATTTTTAAGTTTTTAATTCTGTAATTTTTGTGCATGTTTCTGGTACGTTGAAAGTAATTTTTATTTTTCAAAAAACAGCACTTCGATTAATCATGCATAAAAGCTCCATAATTCTTATGCGCCGCTAAAAAGCACGCCAATTTGCAAAAAAGTATAGCTCGTTTTTGGTATCATAAGCAGCTTCTTTTTTGCATTTCGTCGAAAACTTTGACGACATTGTAAATTTCACAAAACTTGATAACTTAGAATAAATGTATCCCAAAATTTCGATCGATGAGCACAAAATGAGTTCAAATTAAAATCAAAGAACATTCGGCAAACAAAAAAACTCGGTAAAACAGTTGTCAAAACATATTTCATAATAGTTCAACTGTTTTTTGATCCTTTCTATATCTCCTACAATTATACATTTTGATATTAAAGTAATAAGATGTTTCGAGAGTTGTTGGTTTTCGCTGCGTTCTTCGGAAGTTTATATTCCAAATCTATACCGAACTTAAAATGGAGCTACACAAATGGTGAGTTTATGGCAATCTGACTTTTTGGTGCCGCTACAACGAACTACAGGGCGCAGTCAGTTTTAGCTCCACTTTTAACTTCTAGCAAAGGGGGGTCGTTTTTATACTTCTTTTTACAGAATAAATAATGATCCAAAGAAGTCATTAGAATACATCGCTTTAAATCAACTGTACATAATATAGATTATTATATTGCATTTTCTGCCGATTGAAAAACGTTTTTTTTTAAGGGACAGAAGTTTGGAAGGAAGATTTTAAAGAGAACTGTGCCGGAAAGAAGCAGAGTCCGATAAACATCCTTTCACATGAAACGGAAAATGCGGCGGATGATTTGCCCCCGTTCAAGTTCAGCGACGCGTTCAAAAAGGACATTTCCGATGTGAACTTAACGAACAACGGGCACAGTCTCATGGTTTCATTAGACGGGGTGAATGACCACGATCTGACGATAAGCGAAGGGGGATTGGAGGGGGAGTATAAGTTGTCGATGATTCACTTCCACTTTGGCGAAGGAAACAACTCCGGCTCGGAACATACGATCGATAACATACAGTCTCCAGCCGAGGTAAGTGAAAGATATCTCTAGCCGAGGGATAAATCGAAAGGATTAACAATAAAAGTATGATTATTTAACAGCACTGAAACAATCAAAAACAAACACAAGAAATGGTCGGCACTTAATCAGAAACCAATGAACACGCTTAAATGAGAATTTCATGGAAATTTATAGGAAATGGTGCCTCACCTTCAAGGAGCAACCTAGAAACGTGAAAACACTCTCATCACTAACTTCTCTATTGATCGTGCTAACTTACAAAAGATATACAAACAAAAACATAGCTCTCAAAAAAGTCTACAGTATAGGAAATAGGGCGCCGAAACACCTTCTTAGCAGAAAATTTTTTAATCCCAAAAAATGCAACACATTTCAAAAAAAATTGCCTGAAGCAAGAAAAAAAGCAACACGAGCTCCTTTATGACGTAAGAACGGATGAAACAAAGTTTGCATAGAAATTGCGAAAGAATCCGGTTTTAAGAGCATTGTAGGTCATCCCTGATCTGGGCTTAGTGTTTCGGACCTTCGCACTCTCTTTGATAAGAAGAAGAATTAAAAACTCGATGTTACTTATTTTTTAAACCAGATGAAATAACTGAAAAATAAATCAATAACAAAAAGCTGCGGCTAACAAACCCATAAAAGATGCCCGAAATTTGAATGAAACCAATTTAGATACAAAAAAAAATAAAGATTAAAAGCAACAACAAAAGAAAAAGATCTTGAAATTAAATTTAAAATTTCGAAAAAGGGTAAGGAACAGCCTCTCAACAAGTTGACCATCTATGGAAGATTGGATTGCTCAAATTCAATGACATTAGTTAACCGGTCTTAAGAACATTGTAGACCATACCTGATCTTAGTGCTTCGGACCTTTGCACTCTCTTTGATCAGAAAAAGAATTAAAAACTCGAAGTTACTTATTTTTTAAATCAGATTGATTAACTGAGAAAGTACATCAGTAACAAAGAGCTGCGGCTAACGAACCCATAAAACTTGCCAAGTGCTGTCCGAAATTTGAATGAAATCAGTTTAGATACAAAAAATAAAGACTAACTGCAAGAACAAAAAAAGGTCTTGAAAAAGATTTTAAAAACTCAAAAAAAGGTAGGGAACAGCCTCTCAACAAGGTGAGCATCTATTGAAGATAGATTGCTCAAATTCAATGACATTAGCTTTAATTTATTTGTAAGAAAAGAAGTTACAATGGATAAAAACAATTTTTTTTGCTCAAAAAAAGAGAAAATTTACTAGTCGTAGTCACCTTTAACCGGTTTTGGTACACAAACTTCAACTTGTTCCTTTAGCAGTAACTGCTTCTTTTAACTATACCTTCTCATCTAGAGTCTCCGTAACATAAATTTCACTGAATGGGGTCTTGAGAGTCTGTAGACGCCTAACAACCGATGCGGCATTAACCCGTGCGGCAAATCCAATTGGGGGCTTTCAAACACCAAAAGCAAATTGAAACTGCACAATATTACGCGTCTGAGCTCTTCAATAGGAAAATCATATTGGTTAAAATACAAATCACCAACAAAAAAATTATCAGATCTTCATTGCTTAATGTGAAAACATCGCTAAATTGGTGAGCAATTTTTGAAAATTTGCATGCAAAAAAAAGCAAAATTGCCGAGTGGCAGTAAAATTTGCCTAAGTAAATTGAAAAGCTTCATTCTCCGGGAAATCAGTGACGCTCGTTACATTTTGCCTTTCAGAGTAGTTATTGTCATCAAAACTAAAACCATCCTTCTAGTATTGTACGAGGGCGCATCGCATTTGAAATTCGTTTAGAAATTGTCCTTGAGATTGATCGCCAAACGGAATATAAAATTTCAAATATATGGAGCTCGTGAATAAAATTTTTTTCATCAAAGAATACAATTCGTAAGCTTTCGACGAACGAAATTTAAAAAATTCATATACAAGGAGCTCAAGATTTAAAAAAAATTTTCGTCAAAGAATACACTTCGTAAGTTTACAGAATTTCTTTTAAGGTAAATCAAAGATTATTTCTTGTATCATCAAAAGGGAAAAAGATCTTTTTAAGTAATACATGCGTATAATAGAAAACCGTATTTAATTTCTGGCCAAAATTTAAAGCTATAGTATTTGAGTGAAACAGTTTTAGGAACTTAAGGACGCATTTTCGGAACGATGCCACAGTGTGTTCTCAGCTTAGTTAGAATGAAATCAATAAGCACTTTAAAAAATCACTTGGCATCTAAATAAACACCAAGATGCTTGAATGATGAAAAAGCTTTAAAAGGTAAGTTATTGATATGAAATTGATATTTGGAAGCACTACTTAAAGAAACTCCATTTTGAACTTTTTCATTCATATTCAGCGTCAATATCTTCAACCATTTGCTGACAGCTTCTAAGTACTTATTCAAGTTTTCAACGGAGCAGTTTCAATTCTTTAATAGATGTCGTCTGCAAACAAAAACTTCTCTAAAAGTCCAAAAATTTCGGAAGGTCGTTTATGTGTATTAAGATAAAAGTGGGTCTAAAATAGAATATTGAGGAACGCCACACTTTAAACTCCACCACGATTTCTTTCCTTCAAGTAGCTTAGAAACCAGTTCAAATGATTTCCACTTACGTCATACATTTCTAATTTCAGATTACGGGTGTCGAAAGCTTTTTTAAATCGAGAAAAACTGTTCTCTTGGCCGATTTGCTCAAATCCAAACAACGCTTCTCAATATATCTGCAATTGCATCAGCAGTGCTGTGAATTTTGGAGAACTTAAATTGTTTGATATAAACATGTGAGGTAACTTTCGAATTAGTTTTTACTCTGTTGTACATTTCTCGCTCAAACATCTTGCTCCATGGTACAGTTCGAGATATTCAGCTTTAATTACTGACCTCCTTTTCTGATCCATCCTTATACAAAGGGCAAACCACCGCCTGCGCAAGATATGGAAGTATCTGTTAATCCTTTAACTTCATTTAAAAACCTATATTTTTGCCTTGAGCCACCATTACATTTGTTGAAATTTCCAAAGTAATAAAATTTCTTGCAATTCATAACTTAGTTTCATTATTACTTTGGGCAATTTCAAGGCCTAATCTTGCCCCTGGTGCATTTTCGTTTTTAATAACAGGTTTTTTTAAGCTTGTAACGTTTTGCAACTTGACTTATAATATGAGAAGCTAAGCATTGACTTTTAGATTTTCGTGCTGTTGCTTTGGATGTTTTCTGTAACACTATCGTATGTCGACTGGAATCCTTGAAATAGATCATCATTTGCTTCTGTTAGGTCTAGTGTTGCATATTCCTTTAATTTATGCATCAAAGCAACATTAAAGCCATCTATCTGCAACTGAGATTCAAAGAACATGGTATCACGAGTTCTTTTTGACAATGTAACGCTGGTGGTTGTAGGATATAGCTCGACAACAATTGGGTAATGACCAGCAAAAAGACTGATCTTAAGCGTTTAGGCGAGTTTAACATCAACATGCTTTATTATTATATGGTCTAAAAGAGTGTCTCAGATACTTACTATCATGGATAGTTGATTGAAGATTGGGTTGAATCTAATACTTTCGATAGCATTAATGTATTTTGATGAGAGATTATTGTTCCGACTTTCGATACGAAAGTAACGGAATATTTGTGCTCGGGTGGGTTTTTTTTTCTTCAGACAAATTTCGACTTTTTAACTAGCCAATTTTGACGGAATTTTTTATATCATTCAAAAGCTATTGTTGTCCTGAGTCTAAATTTGAAAAGATATTTCACCTGTGACTATTTTTCGTAAAGTTATGGGGGTTTAAAGATTGCCATTTTGGCCAATTTGGAACAAATAACGCGCGATATATTTCGCGCTATTAACGCGTAAGCGGAGATTTAATCCGCCTTAGAAATCGTTCCAAATTGTTTCAAGAAAGCTTATATGCCATAATTGGTATAATAATAGGAGCGAAATCTATTTTTTTGTACTTTATATGGCGTGTGGGGGGGGGATGATTTTCATAAAAATTTTCAAATTTAAAAAAAAAACTTCATTTTATTTTATTATATTTAATTTTTTTTTTATTACTGCTCATGAAACCTCAAAAGGCAGTCGGAACATCCAGGGCTTCGCCCTGATACGAGCAGTCTTGTTTGTTTTGAGAACATAACGTTAAAATTACCGCTTATTATAGCTCGATGCTTTTTGGTGCTAATATTTTATAACACCTCATCGAAGTCTTCTACAAAAGCAAATTTTATCCGTATTTTTATCCATAATATCAATTGAATATTTTTATCATTTATACATGTTTATTTAGATTCATTTCGTATGCACGAGCGACTCGTTCGAAAAAGGCGAAATGGGCAAATTGGCAGTACTTAGTTTTCTCGTTAAGGTGAGTATATGCTTTCTACTCAGGACATTCGATGGAAACACCATAATGAAGTAGCAAAGATTATTTTTATAGTCATTAGCAATCCATGTCTTTTTCTGAAAACAAGAGCAGAAATTGTTACAAACTAAGATACAAACAATATCGGTCACTTTTTAAAATTTTTTTATTAACAGTCACCATTCACTTTAGTTTGACGCCGAAAACACACGAGTCAGCGAAGGGGTGAAAACCATAGCGTCTAAGGCGCATTTGGTCAAGAAAAGTGGTGAGTTTTGTTTAACTTTGAACTCATATCTGAATAAAAGAATTATTATTTCGAACAAATGGCATCTACAAAATGGCTCCAATAATAAGCAAAAAAGCGAATTTGTTCACAACACTTACCCTGAAAACATTCATATAGGAGTTTGCATTAACTGTCGCGACTTTTTAAACAGAACGCGAAAAACTATCAGTTCCCTTTGGAGCAGAGCTGTCAACGCAGAAGCGAATCTGCATTTTGCAATCACAAGCAAAAACAGCAAAAAGGAGCTTTGAAATGCAAGAAAATACAAAAATAAGCAAACAACCTTTGAAAAAAAAGAAAACAAATTGCCAACTATGGGCTAATCTTATCTAATGAAATATTTGGAACCCAAAAGGCGCCCTCTTTAGCAGACGAGAAATTCAATATTTTACAGCACATCTCTGTATTTGATACAGGTGAGAAGACGGAACTTCCTGCATTTTCTCTGTCATCTATCATACCCCTGGATAATTCACACTTCATGGAAAGATACTACAGATACCAGGGGTCCTTAACCACGCCCAAGTGCGACGAAATAGTAGTGTGGACCATATTCATACACCCACTCTACATTTCATACGAAGAGGTGAACAAAGAAAAGTTTTCATATTTTTATCACAGGCGTTAGAGCCCCAAAACTAAGAAAATTGGCTCTGGAATTGGAATTAATTTTTTGCAACAAAAACAGCAGCAACCCAATGAAGCGAAGTTTTCTATAGTTAGGATTAGTTCACGACTACTATTGATTGTACATAAACCAGCCGGAGTATAAACCATAGCTACCATATAAGCCATCCGAAAAGGCGTATTTGTTATATAATAGTTATGTAAAAAATATGTTACAGTTACGAAAGTCACACAAATTTCATTCTTGTGACGTAACTTCTCGTCTGGCTTGCATACTATGAGCATTTTTGGCTGTTTCATACTTCGGATGATTTATTTACACTCAGTAAACTATGCTGCTCCTATCGACGAAAACCACATTTTCTATGTACCAGCGTAAGAATCTTCAACCTTAATCTTAACTTTCGTGTTGCAGTATGAGAAACTACAAGTTGGGCTGACTGAAGACGGCGATAAACTTGTGAACAACTTCCGCCAGGTGCAGCCTCTGAACGGGCGAAAAGTTCTGCGATCTGTTTCACATGTTCACCGGAGATGAAAAATTGCTTCAGAAGATATACAGAGTCAAAAGGGCGAAAACACTAAATGAAAAAAATCTGGTCTCTTTATAGTTCACAGAATATGGAGCACTCTGAATCAACTGAATTTATCAGAACTATCTTTTGTGATTGACTATTTTGAAAAATCAGAAACTTGACTTTTTGTTGAAAAGAACACAAGAACTGCTTTCGAGAACAAAGAAAAAACATCGAAACCAAGATTTTTTTCTTTTTTTTGAATTTCTGGAAATCAACGCCTTTACATCTTCATATCATTAGAACTCAGTTTTGAGAAACTTATAAACATGTTTCAAATTCTCTGCCCTTTTGTTTTAAAAACAGCTGTTTTTAGGTGACGAAAAAATTCAAATTTCACAAAGAGGCGATTCGGAGCTTAGCACCACTTGCGATACAACAGAAACAAAAAATTTACAAAAAAAATGAAAATTGTAAAAAAAAAATTGATTGTTGATGTGTTGATAAAAGAAAGAAACCAAAGGGCCCAGCTAAAGCTGGAGGTACCTGTTTGATCTTTAATGAATTTGTTATACTGATGCAGGATGCGGTGGAAAAAATCAAAATAGCAAAAATTGGACTTTGCCCAAAACCTTGGTTGTTTTTCTACTAATAAAAGCGAGAAGTGAAAATTCTTGAGAAAATTGGAATTTTCGCAAAGAGATCACTTTTTCTAACAAAAAAGGCGTCGCAACCTAAGAAATGGCAGACTAGTTTTATACAGAGCCGAAAAATTTCCGAAAACGGTCAAAGTTTCAAAATTTATGCCGTTAGGCTTTCAAAAACCTGTTGTTTTGATTAAACCATTGATATCAGATTTTGCAGGATAGATATCGAGAAAAATAAAAAAATCGAAAATCCTAGCTTTTTGTGTGAAATATTTTGCGCGTTGTCAATTTTGCAGGAGAGTTTCCCACAACTCGTTCTATCCATTAAAATCAAAATCTCTGATGTAGGACGGTCGTTTGGAGAAAACGAAAAAAAAACCTTGAGACATGGGTAAATTTTTTGAAGGCGGTAGACAGTGGGGTAAAGTACTAAGAGACTGTGGCATTCTGCATGGACACAAAAGAGTCGGCGGTCTTTTCACTGGTACCCTTTTTGAAAATCGTTTACTTTCAGTTATAAGAAAAAGTAAAATTTGTGCAAAAAGGATTCAAAAAAATTCCGACGCAAACCAAATAAATTATATTAAAAAAAAACCCAACCCCATCCATTTTCATAGTACCTGTTTGTTTCAAAGATGGATACTAGCCAAACAAGTCAAAAGGGTCTTTGATTTTCAAGTTAGCAGCGGAACAAAACTTTTGAAGAGGAAACAAAGCCGACAATCTTTGAGCAGAAACCAGTTGAGCAAAAAAAATATATTTAAAATTAAAAAAAAATTTTATGTCCCCACTCAAACTACAATGAACAACACTTGCATTTGCATCTACAGTGAATTACGCTGAAAGCACAAGAAGAAAACTCCCCCAACAACTTAGCAGACAACAGTTCACCAGACAAACGAAAGTCCAACTTTTCAATTTTTACCAAAAAAAAACTTTCTATTGCTACAACACACTAAAAAAAAAACGAAGTCCAGCCGTAACTCAAACCTAAGCCCACAGAATGAAGACCCGAAGGCGTTACCTTTAGATAGTTTGAATATGTTATGTTTCAAAGACAAAGCAAATCAAAAAAGAGTGGAATATTTGTTTACGGGCTTTGGTTCATGGGCTTTGATTCATAATCTCACAAAATTAGAATTTTATTGTAATTTTTCCTTTTGAATTTCAAAAACCGATTTGGAACAGTTCTAATTGTGTTTTTTTACTTTACGTATACACATTGTTATAAGATGGTCCGTTTTAAAAGGTGATACTGCCACAAGAGTATCATTAGACAGAGATTTGGCTGTGATTCGGTAACCCATGAGGGATCTGTTGGGAGTATAATTACATGTTGCAAAGGTTTTAAACACGGAAAAATTTTATCTGAATTCGAATCTCGATGGAATGATGGAGTTTAGCTTCTGGTTAGTTCAAATGATTCATGTTCAAATCTCCTAATATAGTCAAATCTATGGCTTCTGAAGCTATAAATTCAATGCCTTTCAATGTGTCATCAATGATTAATCGTTTTACCTGCTTGTGTGGCATTTCTAAAAAAACTCACGGATCTAAGCAAATGTACTTCATCATAGAAGAGTGATTGGTATTTGACCGTCTGAGCAATTTCATCGTAAATTTGTACAATTTAAAACTCCTTTCTTTTAAAATAGTTGATAACAACGTTGTCAAACTCAGTTATTGATCTGCCGCTTATTGAATCAGATGCGGCATTAACAGGCGGAATTTGACATATGTTAAGATTTCCAGGTCTAAATTTGTGCTCGTTTCATGGTTGCACAAAAAACTTCAGAGAGCTCATCAACTGATTCATGGAGCTCTCTCGTCAGAAGTTAGTGCCATCCTGGAAAATGATTGATTTGATCCTGGAAACCGATTTAGAACAAATTTAATTGTGTTTTTTTACTTTACGTATGCACATTGTTATAAGATGGTCGTTTTAAAAGGTGATAATGCCACAAAAATTTCATTATACAGATATTTGGCTGTGATTAAGTAATCCATGAGGGATCTGTTATGTGCATAATCACATGTTGAAAAGGTTTTAACCACGGAAATATTTTATCTAAATTCGAATCTGGATGGAATGATGGAGTTTAGCTTCTGGTTAATTCAAATGATTCAAGTTCAAATCTCCTAATATAATTAAACCTATAGCTTCTGAAGCTATAAATTCAATGCCTTTCAATGTGTCATCAATGATTAATCGTTTTACCTGCTTGTGAGGATTTATGCAAGAAAGGTTACATGCCTTTTTGATTGCTTTCAGATATGATTGAACTAAATTCTACCCAGATACCTTCGAAGTGTGACGGAAATTTTAAGACATGACGGAAGTGAGTAAGAAATTTTAATCTTCCCGGATCTTGCAATTTTTTTGGGATGAAAATTGCAACCCCTTCTGAAGTTTGACCAGAGCCTTTTTGTTTTCGTCACAGCTGAAAAAAGTATGAATTCATTCGCAGAATGAGTAGGTGAGACGATCACATGCTTCATCCAGCCAAGTTTCAGGGAGACTTATCACAGTATTTGAGTCAATACTTTCCGAGAGGGAACATTTTTCAGCATGTTTAGTTTCAAGCTTATGCATATACGAGTCACAAATTTGAAGTACTCATGGTGTTGTTTCGTAATACTTTTCAGGTTCTCGCCAGATGACAGGGCCTGGGTTTACTTGTGACCTTGCAATCTTAAAAAGTGATATTCAAACTGCACTATGGATTAAGCTGTGTACCCACCTTTGAGTTTAGATATTGGTTTGAACGGCGACACATAAGCTCGGTTGCTTGAAAAAAGTGATTTAGTCCAATGTTAATAATTCGGGCAAGAATTAAAAGATTATTAAAAGTAGAACAACTAAACATTATGCACAAACAAATGAACTCGAAATTCTTTGGGCGCGTTACTGCTATATCGATCATTAGTATGGATAACACGTGTTGCGCATGTCATAATTATGGCAGTTAATGTTTAAATAACTAAATGTTTGGTTATTCGTAAAAATTGAACTATCAATCCCGCTGTGTCTATAGTTCGGTAATCTCTCTGGGTGCTCGGGGCCCCCTCCCTATTAGATTTGAGATTTGAGCAAGGTTTTACGCGGTTCCTCTGAGTGTGCTTTGGGCCCCTAGAAGTAGAAGGAGTTTGTGACAAGATGTGAGGGTATAGGTTTTAGGGCGGTATTACCTTTTCCAGTATGGCATTTCTCAAACAACTCACGGATCTAAGCAAATGTACTTCATCATAGAAGAGTGATTGGTATTTGTCCGTCTGAGCAATTTCATCGTAAATTTGTACAATTTAAAACTCCTTTCTCTTATAACTCTCTTAAAACTCCTTTCTCTTAACTGAGTTGTCAAACTCAGTTATTGATCTGCCGATTATTGAATCAGGTCCGGCATTAACAGGCGGAACTTGACAGATGTTAAGAGCTCCCGACCCAAATTTTTGCGCGATTTCATGGTTGCGCAAAAAACTTCAGACAGCTCATCAATTGATTTATGGAGTTTTCTCGTCAGAGAGTTAGTGCCATCCTGGAAAATGATTGATTTGAGCTCAACATCGTGTAATTTTAGTGAAAATTTTTTTCTTCTTGCAAAAGCACCATGATAAGTATGAATTGTCACGTCTTTTGGGAGATGCTTTGTCAAATTCAGCTAAAAAAAACTTGAACCAATAATCAAATTTTTTATATCTGTCGGAATATACTTAGCTGCAGCATCAAAAGGAGCTCTGACTCTTTCTGTGTCAAGATTTGTAATCGGGCCAACATTATTTGGTGATATCGTTAGGATATTTACAAGAATGTATGTCTTAAGATAGTTATCTTTTCTCCCGAAGTTAGTTTTGAGAAGGTATCGGGTATCAAGATGCATTGGTGTCGACATTGTGCTGAATCCAGAATTGTGCCAAAAATGATTCAGTGTTGCCATAAATAGCGCAATGATGATGTAGTAATCAGTGCGCAGTGAATTCAATTAATGTTTCATTTCACTCAGAGTCAGTTTAGGGCTACATGGCGAGACTAAACGAACTAAATTAACATCTGGTTCAAGGGAAAGAGCGTACCGAAAATGAACGCACATGATCTCAACTAAAAACCTTCATCTAAATCACATTATGTAACCAAATAACAAACCCGTTCAATGCAGCAAAGAACTTACATCAGCATCAGTTAGTAGAATCAAATGACATCACATTTATAAACTCAAAAATTATACAACAGGACTCAAATGAGCCTTAACAACTCACAACGGAAGTATTCAGTTCTGCAAAGATGTTTTTAGTCAGCAAAGTTTACTTTATATGTCAACGAGGTCCAATTGCATATCAGGTCTGAAGTTTTTCCAATTTTTATTGTCTCAAACACTTTGCCTCCGTAAAAAATTAAGTATTACAAAAATGCCAGATGACTTTTCATATTTAAACCATTTCATCTGCTGTTCGATTGGCTTTAAAAAATTTTCCCAACAATTTTTCTGTGTCGAAAAAAATTGGTCTACACAATTCGTTTTAAAGCTACTCGGAGCGAGCAGAGCAACTACTGGATTTTTGAATGTCCTTTACTTCAATAGTTGTGATCAGAACATTTTTTCTACTTGCAGAACAATCGAACTATTTTTCTTTCCACTTGTCCAATTAGTATATTTCCCCACCCGTTTATAGAACTAAAGGCAAAATCGCAAAAGCCACGAAAAAAAATCACAAATGAATAATTATAATTGCCTAACTTAAGTTCATTTTTTTGATATTCAAAAAACGTTTGTACAAAAATACGGCGTGGGCTCGCAGTAACTGTTCATAAAGAAAACGGGAAAAGGCGCCTCAAAATTATTTGCGCGGGGCGGATTTGCGATTAACAAATCACCATTTGCTTCTTTGCTCTCTTGCGCTTTGAAAGCATGAGCTACTTGAAACAAATTTAAAACATAAATTTATTTTCAGGGCTTCGCTCTGCTACCATCATACGCAGCTAATTAATAACACCTGTATATATTTTTAGATGTACTTTATCTCGCGGCGAACACCATTTTTCGCCTTTTTCGCTGCCTGGGGATTTTTACACTTGAAGTTTACCAATTTGGTCGATCAATAGTACAAGTTATTCCATTCCTGCAAAAAAACTTCAGTAAAATGGCAATGGTATTACATATATATGCGCCGGCACCACAGAACAAATACCAATATCCACACACAGATATTAACAGCATGTCAAAAGGTATAAATTTGCACCAAGCGCAGTATACATAATAGCACCATAACACGTGCGGTCAACCACTATATAGTTTTGCAAGCAAAGAACAAGTGACTGCATTGTAATTCCTTTTCTTTACTCCATTTTGCTCAACGAGAAAGACTTCAGAAATGTCTTTTGCATTGAACAAAATTATTAATATTCATTGAATTAACTTCGAATTCATTCATTCGAATGAGACTTGTTCACAGCAAACATTGAAAAGGATTATTCAAATCTAGCTATTCTTTTTGCAAATCAAATTTTTTCTTCAAGGACAGTTGAAAATGGCAGTCACTGAAGAAACATTTTCGATACTTCTTTCATCGCTTTGTATCGTCACGTTGACGATTTTTTGCGCATTCCTGCGTGTTTTCAAACGACGTTTCTTACCTTCTCAATTTCAGATCTTCGTGGAAGAGTTAGTTTGCACGTTCCAGATAGTAGCTGGAGTTAAAGAGGGCGACATAGTTTTGGACACAGGCGGAACTTGGGCCTATTTTGTGTTTATTTTTGTCCTTTTTGCGAGTTTTGGTTTATCTTTCGAAGGAAATGGAGCAACTTGCGGTTTATGGGAACAACTATTCTTCGGTCAAATATCTATTGTGAAATGCCTGATAGCGTGTATCTTGCAACTAATCGGTGGATTCATCGGACTTGTCTACATCAAATCCTTCTGGAAAATGATCGGTCTTGGTTCTTACCATCTCAAAATGTACAAGCACTCAACCGAAGATATTTGCGAATCTGCTATGAACTCAACACTATACGAAGGTATGGTTGCCGAGTTTACAGCTACGATTTTGTTCAGCATTTACTCAAACTCACTTCGAAATTTGTCACTGATTTCAACTGGGAAACGAAGAGCCTATTTTGACGCCTTTGTGACGTCATTCATAGTGATAGTTGGAATGGATTACACTGGCATGATGTTCAATCCTGCATTGGCTACTGCTTTGACCTTTAACTGTAAAGGCCACTCAGTTTCAGAACACATTTTGGTCTACTGGTTTGCACCATTTTTAGCCACTGTTGTTTCATGCATTTACTTCAACTATCAGAAGAAACAAACAAAGGAAAAGAAGGCGGAAAAGAAGGATTAAACTTTAAAAAAAGGATTAAAATTTCAATTAAAACAAATTTCAAAAAACAACCTTATCTATCCACTCGTGCCAGAAATTCTGCATGTTAAACATCTTCACTGCAAAAAAGTGCAATTATTTACAAGATAGTGACTTATAACCATTCTGTGAAGAAATATCTAAGATGCAGCAAGCTGAGAAGTGCGATTTGAAGTAAAAAAAAAGTATAACAATAAGATATGCAGCCTGTTGCGGTGCATGTAACAAAAAGTTACGATCACAGCTATGTGAGAAGCTGACATATATTCCAGATTTTTAAACACCCAGTTATTCTAACAGTAACTAGGAACATTCATTACGAAGCCCACCCCTCCCCCCCCACCACCCCCCGCCCTCAGGAATTTGACTCTCCGTCCATAGAGCCCCTTTGTTACTATTCAAGACATCCATTTTCGGCCAATCGACCAACACGATCTACCTTTTTAGAAAGGCTCCAATGTATACTATTTTTGAGAGAGACGGAAGTTGGTTATCACATTAAAATTAACTGCCATGTAACGCATCTCCGGTGCTTCAAACATACAAGCGTGTAACACACCTCCGGTGCTTCAAACAGATTAGTAATCATGAAAGCTGCTTGTACATAAAAAATGGAGAAAAAAACGGCGAAAAGAATGTAAGTAAAAAATAGACGGGGAAATCCAAAAACGCTTTTAATTTCATGAACGATAAAAATAATTGTGACGAGAAGGTTCAAATCTCCATAACTACAGAGTTTCAGATCTTTGTAAACGAAACCCTAAAACAACCGACAGCATACAACTGCACTTTTCATACTAAAAAATTGAAACAATTAATTGTAAAATTATCAAACTCATAAATGGAATTCATAATCCATCGTAACTAATTTTAAAATATCAGACTCTGTTTTTTCTTTTTATTAAAAGTAAGTTCTGTGAAAAAATTTGAGCAAATATATGAGGATGAGAGGCCACATATGCATCTGCTGGTAGTAACCTGACATCGCCCCACCGAAGCGTCGACAATTTCACAATTTGAAAAGCTTTTATTTGAAAATAAATATTTTTGAAATACTTCAAAAGAAGATAGAAACGTCATAATTAAAAAAAAAAGACGTTGAGCATTCTTAACTGGAGTCCAGACAAACAGCCTGAAATTACCTTGCAATCACCTCGCCATAGTGTTGAGTAATTCGAACTTGGAAATTATTTTAGATCTTAAACTTTTAAAATATTATGAAGGATAAAAACGGCATGTCTCGGAAACTAAGATTATCTGAGCAATCAAACTTTGAAGCAAGATCTGCAACCTCTGAGAGTACCAAGAGATCAACCCACAGCAGGAAATATTCAGAAAAAAAATATTGAAATACAGTCATGTCTCGGAAACCAAATACATTTCAGCAGTCACCTTTGGAGGCAAGATTTTCATCTTTTGAGAGTATCTCGAAAGCACCTGACTACAGTGTTGGCTACTTCAAATTAAGTGGAAACTTTTTAAATCTAACTTTTCTGAAAGTTTCTGAAAAAATCATAAAAAATGTCATATCTCGGAATATAGAAAGATTTGAGCAGTCATATTTCGATGCAAGATTTGGAATCTCCGAGAAAACTTTAACAGCTCCCAACTTCAGGGTTGAGAATTTCAAATTCTGCCAAGTGTTCATATAAATTCTTTAAAACTTTTTTTTTAAATCAAAAATGAAGTCATATCTCCGAAACTAAGAGGATTTGAGCAGTCCCATTTGGATGCAAGATTTGCAACGACTGAGAGTACTCTGGCAGCACCCCATACTATAGAGTTGGCAAGTTCAATTTTTGTTAAGTTTTGATATCTAAGTTAATTGAATTTTAAAAAAAAAAACGTCATAACTCTGAAACTAAAAGGATTTGAGCAGTCAATTTTTGAGAAAAGATTTGTAACCCCTAAGAGTACCTTGATAACACCCAACTACAGGGTTGAGAATTTCAATTTACGTGGAATCTTTTATATCTTAGTTTTCAGAAAGTTTTCAAAAAAGTCACAAGAATCGTCAGATCTCGTAAACTAAAAAAGATTTGGGTGTTCATATTTGGACTAATTTGCAAACAATAGGGTAAAACTGACAGCATCCCACTTTTGGATTTTATAGTTCAGACTTGACAAAAACGCTGAATTCAAGCTGGAAAAATGAAAAAAAATATAACCATTGCAATAAACGATATAGCTTAACCGTGCAAAACTCTTTCGTTGAACTTGCGAAAAAAATACCTTGAAAAAGCTTAAACATGGAGAGATAGTAAAGCCCTCACTTAAATACTTCATATATTAAATTACGTGAACACTGCTTATATATAAACAAAACGAAAAATGACAGGAATACAACCTTAACAATAAACGGGAGCATCCAACAACGCTTAGGATTTTAAAAATCGAAGGATGAAAAAATTTTATTTTACCGGTTCCTTTCAAACTAAAATGATCAATTCTCCAAACCTACTGCGTTTTAAATCTCAGTATTTCAAACTCAAACATAACCCTAAAACGGTACACAGCATACGACTGCACTTTCTACAATTAAGATTTCATTGGCGCAAAATCACTAAACTCTTGAGACTCACTCTTGTGTAAGTTAGTTTTTATTCATTTCATTAGCCTTTACTTAAATGAATTGCTGCCGGCAAAAAATATATGCAGCGTAATTATTTTACAACCACCCAGCGTAATTTTTTTGAAACAGACATTTTTTCTTAATTAATGAAAATTTTTGAAATCTAAAAACCGACAATTTAGAAAACTCAAACAATTTGACCAAAAATATGCGAATGGAAACGAAACCAAAGATAAGGACTTATAACCATTCTGTGAAGAAATATCTAAGATGCAGCAAGCTGAAAAGTGCGATTTGAAGCAAAAAAAAAAGTATAACAATAACATATACAGCCTGTTGCGGTGCATGTAACAAAAAGTTACGATCACAGCTATGTGAGAAGCTGACATATATTCCAGATTTTAAACACCAAGTTATTCTGACAGTAACTAGGAACCTTCATTACGAAGCTCACCCACTCCCCCGCCAAAAAACGGCGAAAAGAATGAAAGTAAAAAATAGACGGGGAAATCCAAAAACGCAAAGTTTTCAAAAAAGTCACAAGAATCGTCAGATCTCGTAAACTAAAAAAGATTTGGGTGTTCATATTTGGACTAATTTGCAAACGATAGGGTAAAACTGACAGCATCCCACTTTTGGATTTTATAGTTCAGACTTGACAAAAACGCTGAATTCAAGCTGGAAAAATGAAAAAAATATAACCATTGCAATAAACGATATAGCTTAACCGTGCAAAAACTCTTTCGTTGAACTTGCGAAAATAATACGGTGAAAAAGCTTAAACATGGAGATATAGTAAAGCCCTCACTTAAATACTTCATATATTAAATTACGTGAACACTGCTTATATATAAACAAAACGAAAAATGACAGGAATACAACCTTAACAATAAACGGGAGCATCCAACAACGCTTAGGATTTTAAAAATCGAAGGATGAAAAAATTTTATTTTACCGGTTCCTTTCAAACTAAAATGATCAATTCTCCAAACCTACTGCGTTTTAAATCTCAGTATTTCAAACTCAAACATAACCCTAAAACGGTACACAGCATACGACTGCACTTTCTACAATTAAGATTTCATTGGCGCAAAATCACTAAACTCTTGAGACTCACTCTTGTGTAAGTTAGTTTTTATTCATTTCATTAGCCTTTACTTAAATGAATTGCTGCCGGCAAAAAATATATGCAGCGTAATTATTTTACAACCACCCAGCGTAATTTTTTTGAAACAGACATTTTTTCTTAATTAATGAAAATTTTTGAAATCTAAAAACCGACAATTTAGAAAACTCAAACAATTTGACCAAAAATATGCGAATGGAAACGAAACCGCTGGTAGTAACCTGACTTTTCCCTAGCAACGTGTTGACAATTTTCAACTATTTTTTTAATCCTTGATACTTTTTGAAACAAAAAAAAACGTCAAATTTACAAAAAAAATCCTTTGAGCAGTCATCTTTAGAAGCCAGATAGTAATTTCTTGAGAGTACTTAGAACTTTTTGGAGCAACCCACCATACTGTTGAGAGATTCAAGCATTGTTAATTTTTTCAATAAGGTTTTTTTGAAAAGTTTTGAAAAAAATCATAAACAATTGACATCTCGGAAACTAAGACGATTTCAAACTAAGAAGTAGTCAAAATTGGAGGAAACTATTTTAACCTCTGCGAGTAAGATGATTTGCGAGTCAAACTTAAAGGAAAGAACTGGAACCTCTGAGAAAACCCCGAAATAACCCCTTTAAAATGTTGGAATTTAAGATTTCGTTTAAGTTTTTAAATCAGGTTTTTTGATTTTTTTTCAGAATATTTAAAAAAAAAATGTTCATTTCGTGAAATCTGAAATGATTTTAGCAGTCAAATTTGGAGGGAAAAATGGCAACCACTGAGATTTTACCGGGCAGCACCCAGTTAGAGGGTTGCAAAATTCCAATTGCAAAAGAACTATATTTCAGCTTTGGAAACATTTGAACATATCAAAAAAGCCTCATATCTCGGAAACTAAGAACATGTGAGTATCCAAATTTAGAAGCAATTAACCTTGAGACTACCATACCAGCACCCAGCTTCAGCGGTGAGAATTTGAAACTGCAACTTTGGAAATCAAAGCTTTCTGTAAAATATGAAAACAAAAATAATAAAAACTTCACAACTCAGAAAGTAAAAAAAAAAGAATGGTCGCTCTTGGACGCAACATTTCCACTCCTGAGAACATTCTCAAATTACCACACAAACTTTTTTCTGATTTTCAAAATCTAATTTCTGAAAACTTTGGTAAAAATCAAAAAAACCGTCGAATCTCGAAAACTACAAGAATTTGCGCGGACATATTTGGAGGCAACATTTGTAACCCATGAGATTACCCTTCAAACTTAGTGTTGTTTTTTTGTATCTTATTTCTTTGAAATTTTTTTTAAAAGCATAAGAAGCGTCAAATCTCGGGAAAAAAGCGTTTGGGCAGTCGCATTTAGCTCAAGATTTGCATTTGGTGAGAGTACCATAGCAGCAGCCAAATGAAGGGTTGGAAATTTCAAATAAAGGGTTGGAAAAACGTCATAACTGCAAGACTACAAAAATTTGAGCTGTCAAATTTAGAGGCATCATTCGCAACCCCTGAAAGTACGCTGACAGCAATCAAATACATGTTTCAGAATTTCGTTTTCTTCATTTTTTTAAATCGAAGTTTTCTGAAGATTCAAAAAAAAACAGAAAAACGTCATATCTCGAAAAGTAAAAA